CACGGCCAGGTAGGAAGCGACCCAGCGGCCGAACTACGACATGCCTAACGACGCAGACGGTTCGGGTTCTTCGAACACCCAGGCCAGCGGAGGGGCATCCTTCTTCAATCCTTTCGCAGTCGAGCTCCCGGAGAAATTGGATTTCCGGAATCCTAATGACTGGAAGAGATGGATAACCCGATGGGAACGTTACCGCATAATCTCAGGACTCCATCTCCGGGACGCATCGACTCAGGTCAACACTTTCCTTTATGCGATGGGCAGAGAGGCAGAGGATGTTCTCTCCTCGCTCAACTTAACCGAAGATCAGCTTATCGACTACGATGTAGTCAAGGCCAAATTCGACACCCACTTTATTCCTCGGGTGAACATCATCTTCGAGCGAGCCAAATTCAACTCGAGAAAGCAAGAACCGGACGAGCCAGTGGAGGTCTTCATCACGGCTCTACATAAACTGGCGGATACTTGCGAGTATGGCTCTCTGCGGGACGAGCTCATCCGAGATCGCATCGTGGTAGGACTGCTCGACACAAAACTCAGTGAGAAACTCCAGCTGGACGCTCAACTTACATTGGAAAAAGCGACCAGGACTGCACGATCGTCGGAGACAGTTAAGCGGCAACAGTCAGAGCTGCGCAGCGCAAAGACTGGAAGCGACGTCCTCGAAGAACTTAAAAGACATCCGCGAGGAAAAAGCGTGAACAAAGATACCAAACGTCAGAGCACGTCGCAAGACCAAGAACGTCCTAACAGTTTAACGTGGACATGCCGATGGTGTGGCAGTTCGCAAAAGCACGCCCAGCTTCAATGCGCTGCGAGAGGCAAGAAGTGTAACGCCTGCAAAAAACTAGGCCACTTCGAAAGCGTCTGTTTTTCGAAGCATGCGATAGAAAATCGAAGAGCACATGGGCAGAGACTAAATGAAGTCTTCCTTGGCGAGCTGGTACACTCAAGAAACGGGAGCCCCTGGTTCATCACAGCTAAGCTGAACGACCGGGAAGTAAAGTTCAAGGTGGATACGGGAGCGGACGTCACGGCTGTACCTCCTAGCGCGTGCGACGCGACAACCTTGGCAGCGCTGGAGCCAACAGAGACGCAACTTTTTGGAGCCGGACACTCTCCACTCAGCACACTCGGCAAGTTCAAGGCAACTATAACCTGGAGTGGGCGAACAACCAGAGAGACGATCTACGTAACCGACCGGCTGAGATACCCTCTGCTTGGACGAGCGGCTATTCAAGCCCTTGAGGTGCTGCCAAGCCTACAGGAGGTCAACGTTGACAGCAACATAGAGTACGATCAACAACTGCACGCTAAGTACCCATCGCTTTTCCAAGGACTGGGGAAAATGAACGTCCAGTACAAGATCACCCTCCACCCGGACGCTAAGCCGTTTGCAATCACCTACCCGCGACGGGTACCCTTTCCGCTGGTACCCAGTGTAGAAAAGGAACTACAACGCATGCAAGACATGGACGTGATCGAACCAGTCGACCACGCCACAGCCTGGTGCGCACCCATGGTGGTTGCCAAAAAGCAAGATAACTCTATCCGGATCTGCGTGGACTACACTCAGCTCAATCCGCAGCTGGTGCGGGAGCGCATCATCATGCCCACGGTAGAAGAGACCCTGGCAAGGCTTGCAGGAGCTACGGTATTTAGCAAACTAGATGCCAATTCCGGCTACTGGCAAGCCCCACTAGCTCCGGAATCAAGAGAACTGACCACTTTCATCACACCAGTGGGGCGTTTTCAGTTTAAGAGACTCCCGTTTGGAATCGCGACGGCGCCAGAATTCTTCCAGCGGGAGATGCTGAGGATTCTAGAAGGAATCCCGGGGCATGTTTGTCACATGGATGACATTCTAGTTTTCGGCCGCGACAAAACAGAGCACGACAGAAATCTCGAGGTGGTGCTCCGCCGCCTCCGTAACTCCGGAGTGACCTTGAACTCCGCAAAGTGCGAGTTCGCCAAGAGTCGCGTCAGGTTTCTGGGCCACATCCTGGACGGCAGAGGCATCGCGGCAGACCCTAAGAAGACGGAAGCGATCGTCAAGATGCCAGCACCGGAAAGCATGGCAGAGCTACGATCGTTTTTAGGCATGGTAAACCACCTCGGCAAGTTTCTACCTGACATCGCGGACAAGACTATGCCACTTAGAGATCTACTACATCAGGATGCAAGCTGGCTCTGGAGTGAGCCTCAAGAGAAAGCATTCTGCGAGGTCAAAGATCTCCTGTGCAAGACTCCTGTCCTAACCTTGTACAAACCAGGAGCGCACCTGACGTTAACGGCAGACGCTTCTTCGTATGGACTGGGGGCGGTCCTACTCCAAGAGGAGGAGAACGGCAACAGACGCCCCATGGCGTACGCGTCGAGAGCCATGACGCCGACGGAACAAAGGTACGCCCAAGTCGAAAAGGAGGCTTTGGCCATCGTCTGGGCGTGTGATCATTTTAGAACCTACTTGGTAGGACAAGTATTTCACGTCGAGACAGACCATAAGCCCCTTGTACCATTGTTATCGACAAAACGTCTCGACGAAATGACACCGAGGCTACAGCGGTTAAGAATGCGCATCTTCGAGTTCGACTTCACTATCTCTCACGTACCAGGCAAGAAGATGTACACCGCAGACGTCTTGTCCAGAAAGCCGCTAACAACGACAGACAACTCTACAGTCACACCGAGAGATGCTGACAAGAGTGAAACATTCGTTCAAGAGTACGAGATGCTGACAATGGAGCTTCTTCCAGCATCTTCTTCCTTTTTGGAGAGGCTGAGGACTGAACTGTCCAGAGACCCTAGTACGGCGAAAGTTATGGAATACTGCCAAAAACAGTGGCCCGAGACGGACATGCTTCCTCCAAACCTAAAGAAGTTCGCCAGTCTCGCAACAGACCTTTCGGTTGTGCAAGGTCTACTTATGCGGAACGACAGGCTGGTTATTCCCCCCCCCGTCTGCAAGGAGAGGTCCTAGAAAGAATACACTGTGGACATCAAGGTGTCGTCCGATGAGAGCGAGGGATTCTGTCTGGTGGCCCGGGGTCAGCACAAAAATACGAGAATACGTAAGTCGCTGCCCTACATGCCAGCAATATCGACGAGCTCCTACGGACCACCTACTTCAAACTCCACTACCCGATCGTCCATGGCAAGAGATCGGAACGGACCTTTTCCAGCTGGGAGGGAAGAAGTATGTAGTCATCGTCGACTACTACTCGAAGTTCTTCGAGCTTGAGGAACTTCCACGAACGACAACGGAAGACTTGACCAAAGTCTTCAGTCAAGTTTTCGCAAGACATGGATGTCCGGAAGTTATACGCTCAGACAACGGTCCCCAGTTTGGATCGAGCGAGTTCCGGCGATTCGTGAACCATTGGGGAGCCCAAACCATTGGGGAGCCCAACTGGTGACTTCTAGTCCATATTACCCCCAGAGCAACGGGGAGGCCGAAAGAGCGGTACAAACTGCAAAGAACCTGCTGACGAAATCATCGGATGTGGCGCAAGCTCTTCTGGCACACCGGACTACCCCAGGGCCTGAAGGTTTCTCCCCTGCAGAGCTTCTGATGGGACGGAAGCTCCGTTCAACACTTCCGAGTGCGCCAACTACACTGAGACCTCACTGGCGCCACTCGAAGAAATATCGACAACGGTACCGGTTTCGTAAGACGAGAGAGGCGTCTGACTATAACAGACGCCATAGGACGAGAGACTGCCAGGTGCTACCCCCCCACTCAGCGGTCTGGATCCACGCGGGTGCGGCTTCGCAGGGAATGATACAAGGCCAAGCAGGACAGCCTAGGTCTTACCTCGTGGAAACGGACCAAGGGACAGTACGACGCACCCGGCACCATCTTCAGCCCGCGAGCTCCGAGATGGAAGCAGCCGGTCAACAGGACAACGACCTTTCAGCAACCGTAACCCGGAGTGGCCGAATTTCGCGTCCTCCAACTCGTTATGGACATTAATGCTTAAAAGGGGGAGGTGTCATATAAGTGGGAACGCATCTTGCGTTATATGGCACAAGTGCTGGCTGGCTGTGTTGGCTGACAGATGAGCGTGACTCGGGTAGCGCGGGACGGATGCGCGTGGAAGGCTGCGATGCGCGCGTGTGGGCTCGAGGTTTTGGGTTGTTCGATAAAGGCCACCGGCGTAGTTGGTGTTCTCTTGCGGCTCCTGTCTTTGGTCCTCTTGACTCGACCCGACTCGGTGCACGACGAGTACAACACACATACACACATGCACACGCACGCACACACTACTGCCAGGTCACAAATGCCAGAACCAGGTTTGTACACTTACTGCAGTTCGCGACACGTTTTACCGAATTCCTAGCGATAGAGTATATGCGGCGTTCTCACGCGAACAGTTATTTTCCTGAGACACTGCGCCATATTCCGAACTGTACGCTCCCTGCGCGAACTATAGGGGGCGCTTTGAAAAACGCGCGTAATGCGTACTAGCGGGGGAGCTCGCTTTCGACAGTGAGACCAGCTGCGGCGCCTTTCGCGTGCGAAGCTGTGCCGGCGGAAGCGCGCGTGAACAGGACTTTGGTTCTTTGAGCCGATATGTTGAGAGTGACGTTACATAAGGGCTGCGGCAGAGCTAAGAAGGTTATCTAGCTTCTTTTTTAATTGTCACCTTTTGAAGTTTTATTTGACTGAGCCATCAGCACTTACACACCGAACATGCGTTTGACCGGCCAGATTGGCATTCCACAAGAAGGAGACCGTCCGAAGAACATAGAAGAAGGAGCTTCGCTGGAGACCCAAAGTTGCCAGACTATATCATCTCCTCACCTTTTAGATCAAAAAACACTTTTTAACTTTTTCTCCAGTTCGTGACAATACGCTGGCAGACTTTTAACGAGAAACAAACTAACACATGTTTAAAAAGTCTCCTTAGGAGCCAACAGATTAAAAACAGCCTAATCATGGGCTAAAAAGCTTTCTTGGTTTTCTGACGCAACGCGGACAACGGTGCGATTTGTTCTAGGCACTTGTGGCACTGGCACTGGCACCGGTTACACTGACACGGTCTTCATGTGGGCTGCCAGAAACTGATGTTGCAGGCTGCGACACAGTCATCCACCAGTCTTCGGATTTCCCAACAGTGCCATCTTTAGTGATGAGAAGCTGGTCTTGGTGTCGGTTCCAAGTGAGACCTCCAGTTGGGGTCTTCACACACATTTGGTAAGAGTCTGGACCTGTCTTCTTAGTAATCTTTCCTGACACCCATTTCTCCGCACCTCTGTAGTTGCGCACCCGCACAGCAACTCCCTCTTGCATCGTTCTTGCCACAGTTGACTTGTAACGACTGGCATCGAATTGACTTTATACGACCACTGCAGGTGTCGATTGTTTTAACAGATCGACTCTAGATCGGAGTCTTCGACCCAGCATTATGATATCTTGTCGTCGTGTCGATCGAAATCGAAACCGTGCCACTTCCCTCTCTGGCACGCTAGTTCCCAGAGTGCCACGCGCAAAGTGTTGCGTGCAGGGATTTATGGAAGTAGTCTATTAGGAAGACATGCTGGTATCCTCCGTCCTTTGGCACCCGCGACATTAGATTTAACTGCGTTCTGCACTATGTGTGAAACAAATAATATATATACGTAGCCTAGAATATCAATCACTACGTATATTGATTCATATTCTATTTTACGTAGAAAAGAATAGAATAAAGGGCAGTTAGCCGCTGCCACAGCTTCTCGGTCATCAATAGACCGATCCCACCAGCCAGTATCGTTACTGCACGAGCTGTCTCGTGCACTGCCGCCTGCCTCCCGTGGACTAAAGTTATGGCGGCGTCAGCATGCGTGCAATGCTTGTGAGATTCGGCTATACGGCAAACTCGTTCTTGCATGGTTCCAGTATATCCAGTGTATCTGAAATGGTCACCGAATATCGTGTCCTTTAATTTCCCGGTTTCACGGCGGCCATCTACAGTGGATATAAAGCGGGTTTTAATTTATTAAAAGAAATGTCGAAATATATTTCAAAGGGAACTTCGTTAAAATATTCCCCGTGTTTTGGGGGATTCTAGAGCAAGCTATTAATGTAACGGGTTAATTCCTTAATCAGTTAATTAACGACTCAATATTCCCACGTTCTTATTTTTCTCCTCTAATATGTAGGTCAAGAGGGTAATAATTTTACTCATCGCACTTAGTATAGTAAAATAAAAATGAAGTGAAAGATAGTTTTTATAAACATTTTGTTTCAAATTGTGTTATAAAATTATGTAACTTGTACCACAAAACATTTCATTTTTAGAAACACTTTAAAACAAGAATTTTGACAAAACGTTCTCGTCCACATCTTCATCGTTGTACCATCGGGTTCGAATGAAATCCGAACACTGACGGAACTTTGAGCCCACTACCGGCGTAGCCTTTAAGCGATTGGGTTGTGCTTGCATGGCTAGGTTCGAGCACATCGGAGAAGGCCGCTGCGACGTTGTGCGTCCTATTCCGATGTGCAGGGATAAGCAGTATTTCAAATACAAGTATTTGAAATACGTATTTGAAATACTTTGTGCATTTTGCATTTGTATTTATTACAGATTGGGTAATGTATTTGACGTGTGTATTTATATACTAAAACGTGGGTATTTCAAATACAATTGTAATTAAATACAATTTTGTGGGCAAAAATACATTAAAGGCACTGTCCAGAGCAGGAAGAAAACTACGTTCTGCACCGAATGCAGTGTCTCTCAATCAAGCACGAGCGTTTAGTGACTTTGTGATTACGGTGCTAGTCCTGGGCAAGAATAGTGACGAAATCGACGTTCACAGGCAGACTGACTAAATAAGTGCGTGTGACAACTTGTGATGCTTTCCAGCCTGATTTCCATCCATATTTTTTCCTGGAACATTCTAAATGCGCGGGTCGCCCAGATTTTCGTAACTGGTGCGAGTTGCAACAATAAAAAATTATCTAGCTAGTGCTGCGCGTCTTGGTCGTCTCGGTTCTTTGTTGGTCTATACCAAAATGTAATCGACAAAAAAAGCTGCTTGAAGCTCTGTACTTTTTTCACCTATTACGTCCAAGCTGATTACATTTTTTGTGATTATATTTCTATTACGTTACTAGAGCCTCGCACACTAACTCCCGAGTGTGCAATGCCAAATTAAAATGAGATACCCAGAAACCCTTTGCCGGTGCCCTAAAGTCGCTGACGCAAATTTTGAGGAATGTATTTGGAGGAGACCAAATACATTTGGTTGTATTTGTATCTTGTGCTTAAATGCTTTTTTTGAGATGTAATTAGATTTGTAATTAAATACATTTTTGACGAAGTATTTTGTATTTGTATTTCGATACATGTTTGCATGTATTTTGCCCATCCCTGCCGATGTGTTTGAACTTTGAACCTGCACAACCCCAGCTTGGAAGCTGCTCCGGTAGTGGGCTCTATGTGCTGTCACTGTTCGAATTTCATTTGAACACGAAGGTGCATAACATAATTTCGGCTTGTAGCTCGTGAAAGTTTATATTTTCTTAATGTGGGCAAGGCCTCAGCAGAGAAGAGTCGCGAATTGCCTTCGCTAATATCTGAAAAGTAGAGGGACGTGGTCGAGGCCGCTTATTCTGCATGCCCCTAGATGTATCAGGGGGTACTTTATGTATGAGTTGAATGCGACGCCAACAAAGCTAACAGGAAGCTTTTTATACAATTTGAACCTGATGACCACAAGTGCGAGTTTTCATTTTTATGATTACAACAGAGCAGACAACATGTTTGCCTGTTCTCGGGATATTTCGTTAGAATTATCAACAGTACATAAGGTTACATATGGAGAATTCATAGAACTGTTGTCGCGTTTTTTGCTGAACATTTTCTAAGTACCATCTGGTGCTATCGTTGTACTCTATTTCGTCGAAAAAGAAAAATAACATAACTCGTGCGTGAATCAAGAGCAGCACAGATCCACATTTTGATCAAAAAAGGAAACAAATGAAAACGGTGACGCCATGTTCGTTCTTTTTTGGCCATCTGTATTTAATGACACATGAGACGACTTGAAGCAAAAAAAAAGTGATTAGATCTTGTTGATGAATCGGCTATTTTATCAAGGTGTGTTATGAAATGAGTGTGACAATGGCGAGAAGAGAAGAGAACGGCATGTGTTTTTGAATTATTAAAGAAATTACAGGAAAATTGACACAATATCATGTGTAAATGTAACAAATGATTCCGGAACTCTGTGGCATCCCAACGCCCTCTTGAAACATTATGGGAACGTGATGTATGGCACAGGGGGGATTACTGATGGCTATAAGAAAACTATTACGTTGGTTTCACACTTTTGTGAGTTCACAACGCAGAGAGGGTCGGGAAATCAGAAAACAGGGTTTGTATCGACTTAGATTTTGGGCATGTCCTGCATCCTTTTGACTTTCTAAACAAAGAACGATAAACGAGGGTAAAAAAAGCCGCTTCCATGACATCCGAAGCATCTTAGTCGTATCGAAACCAACTGGCAGGCAACTTGGCCACACATTATGGACTCCTCTCGCAAAGCTCTCCACTGTTTCCCTCTTTCTACCCAATGGTGCGTTTACACATGCGAATCCACGGGCGGATCCGCACCGGGGACGAGCGGAATTTGGAGCCGAGTGACGAAGTCTGTTCGTCGCTGGCGGAAAACCTATAGATCTGTCCGGGACCCAATTTTCCCTCCAGGTGGAGTGTTTCGCCTGATGTGAGCCAATCAGGGTTTGCCGGAAGTTGCGTGGCGCGGTGCATCCTTCCGGTGTTTCCTGTTTGTTCATACACTGTCAGAAAAAAAAAAAGGAATATTCTTACACCCCCCTGTCACATATACGACACCCCAAAACTTCAGTTCGACGTGCAGCACACTGATGTCGAACAGATGGCCCCAAGTTTTACGAGGAGCTTGAGAACGGTGATATATACCTCATTAAACAGCTAAAGTACGTAGCAAAGAGTACAGGGAAAACAAACACTGAGGTTTTCCAGTAGGGCCAAGAAAACCGTGATTACTTTTTCTTGCAGTCAGTAACACGTACATTAGCTATTTTAAGAAGTTGTACAGCTCGGCTATCAAGCCGCTCGTGAAAGTTGGTACCGTCGGTTCGACGTCAGCGGGCTGTACGTGTTACAGCCCGTTTTTTTTTTTGTTTTTCTTTTTTTTTGTGGCAATGGCGTCGCTCGTCGTGGCTTGGAAAAACCATTCACCTGCCAGGACGATGAAGGAGGTGGCATGCATGTTCAGTCTTTTCGCAGCAGGGACGAATCACCAACGGCCAACGGTGCACCGCTGCTTCTTTGGTGTGCTGTGCATCTGCTGCACAGCAAAGGGCGCACGGGAAATGAATAGTCGTGATATTGGATGAGCGCTATCGCATTGCTAACATGATCGTCCGTGTCTATACGTTTCGATCCCCGTCGCCTCTTCGACAAAATTCTACTCAAGTAATCAAAACACTAAGTATACCACGAACAAAACATAATCCGTGTGGCGTTTATTTGAGTTCAATATAAAACGGAAGAGCATCACTTTGCGACGAGCGACGGCGTCCGACACACTAGTCTGACACCATCGAAACCACGAGTGGCTTGAAGGAAACGCACATTCTTCAACACCACGGCTCTCTAGTACACAAGAAATAACGCAGGAACGACGAAGGAACCAAGGGGAACCAGCAGATCCTTGAAACTAAGTCAGCTATCCAAGTGGGAAAGGCCTACTTGAAACAAAGAATCCTACGTTCATTCGAAGTGCAGGGCGAAGCGAGGAGGGGAAATTCTTATTGTTTGCTTTTAGCAACTACCTCACCGCCCACGGCTAGGAACCGATTTTCCTAAATCACACGTGAGGTCAAGATATAAAAAAGAGCTTAAACAATTTGTTAAAAAAAAAAAGAAACCTTGAAAGCTACATTTACGCACTTTGTGCAGGTGATTTATACGGCCAGGAGGACATAGTATACGGAGATAATCGTAACTATCAGTCGGAAAATGAAGTAAAATTTGTCGACTACCTTTTTAATTAGTGAAACCTGACATATTAATCC